AATTTATATATACACATGAATCAAACACACCTTGTGGAAATGTTAGTGCTTTGTTAGACTCGTCAAACTTTGCATTTCATTATTAGAAATTTGCTTAATCCATATAATGAATTTATTAATGTAAAAATGTTCTTAATTCATATAATGAATTTATTAATATACAAATGTTCTTAATCCGTATAATGAATTTATTGATGTATAAATCAAATGTTCTTAATATTTTTGTTAGAAATAATTGGTGTTCTCATATAAATGATATCTTCTTAAAATACATGGGTTGATGTTATTATTACCTAAATTTGATCCATGTTCATATTAAATATTGAATTAAGTACACATTTTAATCAAATTGTAACATGCATGAATAATTGAAGATAAGTTAAATAGAGTTAATTCAATATTTAAGTTGATTTATAACCTTCACCAAACAAAAGTCAAGTTTAATTTTAATGAGAATTTAGAATTGTGATTAAAAATATATAAAATATGAAAAAATGTATGAACACAAAGTCATGAAATAAAAAAACAATAATTCTTAGACATATTTGAAACTTGAATTTTTTTATTTCGAAGATTTAGCATTCATTATATAAAAAAATGTAAAAATTTGCAAAATATTTAAATATATATTTTAATTAATTTGAATATAAAAAATAAATTGAGTCAAAATCAAAGCTATATTAAATGAATATTTCAAATTTCAAGTTGTTCTCATACATTGAGGTTAATTTTATATGATTGGATATTATTCTAAATGTCTGATTTTTTTTATGAATAATATTAACTGAATATGTCAATCTTGCTCAAAATTTCAACGAATTTGTGTATAAAATATTTAAAATTAAAATATTTTAGGTTATGATAGCAAGTGAAATGAACTTTACTTGCAATATTTTTCTCATGGAACATTTCATGAACTAATCATAATACATATACAATTTAGAGATATATATATATATATATATATATATATATATGATGTATTCTTCTACCGATACTACTTGATTTTATTTTCAAGGTTTATTTGGATTGAGCAAAGTATTGATTCTTGATAAATGAAACAAGATACATTTATGGGATGTTTTCAATGGCAATTTCTGATGTATGTGTTGGATAGTTTATATTGAAGAATATATGATACATGTATAGCATTATATAAAAAATTCCTTTTCAAAAATCGTAATTTTGATTTGAATGATATTTGTTAATTATATATCTTAATAAATAGTGATAACATACATTATAATTAACATACGTTTTTTTCAAAAAAACCTATTATTTTCAACAAAAATATATGTTATCACTATATACGTACTAAAGTATGTTTTTTTTGTAATTTTTGTGGAAATCTAGTTAAACATAAAATTACTGGTTGTTGTATGTTAATTTTGTTTGGTTTTCGAAAATTTCATGTGCTATCTAAGAGTATTTACAAGCTGTAATACTCAAGATTGTTAAAAAATAATTTCCAATCAAGAAAGAAATTTTCAAAAATCAAATTTAGTTTTTTTCAAATTGTAATTTCATCAATATAAATTAATATGAAATATGTAGGTATACTTACAAATCAAAAATTTTCCAATTTTGAGGTATTGACTGTAATCATATATCTCCCACTACGGTTAACATTATTTGATAAACTTTTTTCCCCAATTATATTTTATGAATGCAATCTATACTTAATGGAGATGGAAAAAGAAGAAAGTCAAACTGCAAATAGTGTATACTGATTACCTAAGTTTCTCTAGCCTCGATTTTCCTTCATCACACAAACGCGATGACCAAATGAGTGCGATCATCACAAGTTTCTTTGTCTTATGTGAAGACTTATTCAACCCATTTCGCTCCCACCCTACTTCTCTAGCCCTGTTACTGCACAAAGCCAGAGAGGCTCATCATTTATAATCTAGAACTGGAAAAGCAGTTTGCGAATGACGATAGCCGCGAGAAGATTGCGGTGTGTAGAAATACTCAAATGAAATTAGTACTTGATCAGCTGGTAACAATCATGTCTTCCAGTCCCAAGGCTGTCAGATTGACACACTATAAAGTTTACTAGAGTCGTTGGATCTAAGCATGAGAGATGTAGATATACTATAAAGAGGAGATCGCTAGTGGATCAGAGTCGGCTGCAGTTCGGATGTAGAAATTGTTCTCATAATCTATTGCTTGTTTGGACACTGAAACGGAAGACATTTTTGTTTTGCATGGATTATTTTGTATGTGAGAACATTTCGAAGTGCTGTACATGAATGGCTTTTTGTCCGAGTTATGTTTCTCGGTTGAAATCAAGAGAGAATAATTTTACAGTTTAATCGTAAGATGACATCTTCTGGGACTTATTCAGTTGGACTCTAGTGCGCATTTTCTCAGTATTGCATGACACCGCAGAGTGTGACAACGAGGATTCTAGCTCAAGACTCGACAGTTCGATTCGTTGAACAATTTTTTCTACCTCGGTTGCCGTGCTCCACGTCCAACCCAAGCGAAATTAAGCCACCGTAGCTCCTAGAGTGACTATGGTAATGCATCGTAAAGGAAGGGACCACGTGGATAAAATATTTGGAAGACCCCATCAAACCCTCAAAAGAATAAATCGAATGGACACTAGGGCTAGGCTCATATTAACGCTATACACCGCGTACAAGATTTGAACTGATATCCTAACTGTGCAACACGTCGCATCCTATCATGGTTTAACGACCGTACCTCCGAGACTGACTATGGTAAGGTATGATAAAGGAAGAGTGTCAATTGGATAAATAAACATCGGAAGACCCCCATCGAGCCGTAAATATATCAAATATTGTCGAACCAAGTGCCAAGCTCGTATAATTGTGATACTCCCGCGCGCACAATATAAGTACTGGTATTCCAACTGTGCAACAGGTTAAACCACCTTAGCTCCGAGAGTGACTATGTTAATGCATAACGTGGTATCAGGAAGGGAGATGTAATACAAAATTGTTACTTCGTATGCTCTACACTACAGTGAGCTCTTTGTCGACGGCTTCTGCTTTGAGGATTACAAGCTTTTGGAGAAATCGTCCGAAAAGTCTAAATGTGCGGAATGAAAGTAGAACGAGGGGCGGTGTGTGACCAAGAGTGCGCGAAGATCGACCAAATATAACTTGCTCACATGGCTACTGGCGCAGATTGACCATCCCTCCAACGATGGCCCAGCCCAGACAGAGTGAGATGATAAGTGCAACCTCCGAATCGTGTAGATCAATAGACATCGAGGTTGGTGATCGAATCGGCGATGATTCCACTTCTACGTGTTACTCGCCATCGTCATCATGCATCCGAAGTTACGGCTATCGATTTGAACAGAGACAGAGCGAGAGAGAGAGAGAGAGATAGAGATAGAGAGAGCTTGTTGCTGTTCCTTTGTATGTGTCCAAGCCTACAGCATTTCCCATCCGCTTTGACTTTCGAGGGCTACTGGGGCTCTCCCGTCTACCGAAAGGCAGCAGAAGCGTCTGTGGGCTACTATATGGATAACTCATGCTGCCCGTTAAGCCCGGGTCGGGCTGATCACAAATTTGATGGAAGAGCTGTTGATGGCAGATTTTCTTCAATGCGGTCCCAAGCCTAGTTTTAGGGTCCTCAGAAAAAATTCCCAAGTTTGCCTGTTCGCAGCGTTCTAGGGTCTCGACGTGCAATGCATCCCCCATTACCCAATTGGTAAAGAAACAGACAAAGGGAATAGAGAACGATGGAGATCTCATCAACTCGTACAGTGAATGATACGAATGGACGTAATCGCTTAGTGATTTATATTTTCAAGATAATAATAAAAGTGTACATTGTAATAATCTACAACATAAGTTCTAAACTATGAATGTAAAGAATATATGGTGTTATATCAGATATTATTTACTTATATTTATTAAAAAATCAAACTATCTCTATCAATATATTATTATCTGTTTTTGAATCATAATATTTGACAAGGGCAATATCTAGATTGGCGTAAAAGATAATATGGTGACCCTCAATCGGTTGCGAGGCATTGCTGATGTAATGATGCAGTTTGCTGAGCGGCTGTGGAGCGAGAACACTGCACAGAAAAAAGAAGAACAATGCAATTACCACATGCATTGACATTTCAATTTAATACGACGATGCAGTTTTAGATAATATCAGAAACACATTGTAACATATTCCTGGCAAAGATAATTTTTCTAAATTGATGTCTCAAAATGGAATGGGCCGGATGAAGTCCGAGGGGCACAATTGTATACACCGTCCATTACTGTACATTGGGAACCGGATGATGCAAGGTTCCCTACGGCCCCTACGGCAAGACCTCAGCGTGGCAGGGCAGCCATGCATGCCATGCCATTGGCATCATCCGGGGCCATGAATGAATGAATCGTCGCGAGCGAGATTCTGCCATTACGGAAAAGGAGTGAAGGGGAAATTAGTGGCAATTCTTACTTACTTACGCAGCGCAGAGCCACATGCAAATTAAGGAAGGGCCAAATAAAGCGCGTGCCAATGATAACCACGGGGAAGTAAAACATGAGAGTTTGTCGAGCAAATGATGCACTTATATAAATGGAAAATCAGACGTAGGCAAATCCCAGGAATAAAAGCCGACGTTAAAGTATGGCCGGGCAGATAAGATTACTACTCGCAGGGAAGGCAACACAAGATACTGTGTATCCAACGCACATAAAGGCTGTAAATGCGATGACACGGAAATAAACTAACCCGGGTCAATGCTCGGCATTTTACCCCGGATAAAATCATGACGTCCATTGGGGGCGGGGGCCCGAAAGCCCGCCATCCTCACCCGGTACCGATCCCGCGGTCCGTCCCTTTCTCCGCGTTGTCCTCCGTTTATACCTCGGATGGCCTCGCACAAACTTCAGCGATCCGGTAGTTTTTCAATTCTAGCCGGTGACGTCCTACGGAAGGCTTCTGGGTGGGGTCGCCCTGCGCCCTTTCGTCGGCTTGTGTCCCCTCTCTGGGCCTCCGCTCCCCATCCCCGCCTCTCTCGGCGTCCTCGTTCCGCTCCTGTGCCTTCCCTTCGTTCCCCCCCACCACCCTCTCCTCTCGTCCCGTTTGGTCCGCTGGCGCGTGGTGCCGCTGCTGCCTCTGCTGCTGCAGCGTCGTAGAGGAGTAGAGTGTGAGTCCTCGATCTCAAGGCACCACTGAGAGCAGCTGCTGTTGCTGCTGCTCCCAGACGAGGATTGGAAGCCAAGGCACAGAGTAGGAGGGAAGGAAGGTGGGGGCGAATGTTGCAGATCGAGTGAGTGGCGCGTGCTTGGATCTCCTGCTGGCCCATGGGCTGAGTGGAGTGGACTGACTGAGTGGAGCAGCTCATCTGACTACATGTACATTGCTCGAGAGGCCAAGAGTGGAGTGGACTCCCGCGGAAAATCATTTTCCTTGCATTTCGAGCGCATTTGACATTCTCGGAGAAGAAGACTGACGAGGGAGTTCAGCGGAACGGAGGGGAACGACAGACAGACAGACAGACACCGAGCATGGCGCAAGTGAGTGAGTGAACGAGCGAGCAGGCCTCTGTCGGACTGACATTGCGGAGAAACGAGCTGGTACCGAGGCGAAGCTGACAAAAGCGAACGAGCTTGGGTTCCGAGGCTGACTACGATCCCTCCATCTTCATTACACAGTCAGTGAAGGCTTCTGAGGTGCCTCACCTGTCAGCAACTGGCGGAAGTGCGAATGTGGTGAAGGAAAGGGAAGGTGCGAGTGAAGAGCTAGGAACTGTGAGTTTAAGAGCTATGAGCAACCAATGAAGAGGGTTGGCATTGCTACAATGGCATCAGTGAGAACGAGGACAAGCATTTGTGCTAAGGGAGAGCTGGAGAAAGAGATAACGGGGAGGACAAGTTAAGCTGAGTCGAGATGAGTTGAAAAGGGAAAATGGGAAGGTAGGAGCTGGAGTGAATTCTAGAAGCGTTGGAGGGAAGGCAGCCCAGGTTTTGAGGATTGAAATATCTGACACCGGTGGAAAGGAAGGGCACTGGTGTTGTCTCAGCTCTAACAGCGCGGAGATTTTCAGGAGACTATTTGAAGTTCACTCTGTCAAAGCAGGGCGTTATGAGGGCCCTCTATCGGAAGCTGGTTTGGCTTCTATTTGTTAAATGTAAGATGACTTTCTCTTGCTTTTCTTGTTGTGTGGTTGCCCACAAGGCATTGCTCCAGTTTTTGCTCATTTCGTTTCCTGAAGACTGTGAAGATGTCGTGTTTCAGTCTTCAGGATGTGCTCGCAGATGTTTCCGCTCGAGGTGGGAATTTGCTGCCTTAACTTTAGTTGAAGTGTTATGATGTCGTGAACAGTGGGGAAATACGTTGTTATTAGCCTTCTTACTCATTGGTTCTTGCAGCTATGCATCCTTATGGGTCTAGTATGCCCTATGGTTCTTCACAACTTAACTTTAAATAAATTTTCTCTTTGTGGCGAATTTACTTTCTCCTTCCAAATCAAGCCTACTCGACTGTAGAACGATTAGATTGAGTAGATTTCTGCCTTGCATCTTTGATTCTTGATGTTGCCTTCTTGAATTTTGGCGTGGTGAGGTATAATGTAATCAACACCCGTAGTCCACACAGGTAGAAGATGTCAATCTTGGTCTGTTTGTTTTTATGAACATGTAGGTCACACTGCTGTAGACCTGATTCTTTTATGTTCAAGCCTTGTACGTCATAATGATGGGCATCGTTAGAAGTGGATTCGTTGTAGAGTAAGAACAAGATGAATTCACATAAATACCAACTGACCGCAGGCTGTTGTGGATTTTTTTGTCTGTCATGGTGAATACTACGAAAATAGGCTGCAGTTCGGTTCAACGTCCTGATATTGTTTTGGCTGTTCTTGAATGTCAAGATGCAAAGTAGTGATATCACTTCTGGTCATTTGGTTCCATAAGTCTCATACGGAATATGATTGTGATGGTCATGTCTGTTTTCTCCATTGGCCATTGTACACCACTGCTTTAAGTTTTCTGCCTAGCATTGTAAAATATAGAAGTAATGTTGCGTTCTAAAAATTGCTGGTTTGGCTTAATAAGAACGCTGACTACTAGTGTAACATGCAAATCGTCAAAGGAACGAGATTTTAATTTAGCAACGCTGTTTGATTCACTCTCTTTTTCCTATGAGTTCATGTTTGAGAATCAATCAAGCTTACCCTCTTCTGCAATGAGATTCCTCTACTGAAATCTAGAAAAGTATTAACTTAAATGTCTCAGTACTTTGTAATGCTTCTACTGTCTTTCACACGACAACGAAACTCGAGTAAGTTTCTAAGAAGCGTTATTTCTTGAGTCACATGAATCATTTTTTAAAGGCCATCTGGAAGTTGATCTTGAATTCCTTGCCAAGCCATGAAGTGAACGGCGAATGTCGTCATATTTGTTAAAGATTTTAAAAAAAACCAAGTTGAGAAAAACAACGGTTTGCATTGTTGTCCATCACTTTGGATGTGTTTATCTCTGTCCTCACGCAGTTGACTTATATTTTAACGATATGTTTACTTATCCCATAGTTGTTCATTTTTCCATCTCTACTTGAATTCGGATCAAAAATAATCTATGTCCTTATCTAGCTCTGTGAGATGAATCTCATTATAGATCATTGGTGTATTATTATCTATTATGGACCAACCTTGTATTAGTGACATATACTTTCAAGTTTGTTCTCACATTTGATTTTGATTCCTTAGAACCCTCTTCGTGTGGCGGAGCATGTTGGTGGAATTTCCTGTCGTAAGAAATTGCCCACATGTCATTGTTTTTTCCTTGGTTCACATTTCCCTATATTTTGCGTTCACTGAGCACTTGAGCAAGTGTACAGTATAAGAAAGTTGGAAGCTAGCTGAAATGATCTGATATTCATCTTAGTTTTTCTGGTTAGAATTTTACTTTTGTTCCAAGCAGTCGATGGTTTTTTTGATCTTGTGATGCACGATTGTTTAAATGTGGGTTTCTTATCTGCTTCGGCCTTTTGTGTGCAGGTATACTATGCCTTGTAAGATCAACTCATGCTGCCATCCCGGACTACTCAGTTTCCCAAATTAACACACTCGTACGAGAAACATTTTTCCCTTTCCAGGGCATTGAACGACATCAACTTCTTGACATTTCTTTTTCAAAAAGACCATCATCTTTCATTCTCGCAGTAGACTCTCCTGCTCTAGCTCCTGCTCCAGGATTCGCAATTCCCCAACCTGCGCCTGTTCCTGCTCCTGTCCCAGTTCCTGAGTTGTTTCCCGAGCCCGGTGATCCACCTCTTACCGTCCCTTTCATCGCCCCTTCTCCCGGCCCTCTCACCATTCCCATACCAGATGGACCGCTGACGCCGATGCTGTCAGGTACTGCTTTGATTTACTTCCTGTACTTGCTGCTTGTATAGAAAAAATGTGGTATGTTTACAAGTACTCATTTTATCCCTTCAATCTTTAAAGATATAATTTCTTTTCATGACTTAGACTTCAACCATAAGTAGCATTCTTGGTTTCAAAATAAAAAATTAAGTTTTTCGCGGCAGTATACTTATTTCCAAGTGAAATTGTGGAATAGTGCAGGTAATTGTTCTCTCAACTTCACGGCAGTTGCATCGATCACCCAAAGGACTGCGTTCGACTGTGCCGATCCATTAGCTGCTTATGTTGGGGTTGTTATTTGCTGCCCACAATTCGACAGTCTGTTGAGAATCATGCAAGGGCAACATATGCTTACAACCGGTGCTCTTGCTCTCAACAACACAGAGGCTGAATATTGCTTCACGGACACAGTGAATATACTCATCAGCCTATTGGGAAATAGCAGTGTTCCCTCCTTGTGTCAAGTCACGCCGTCCAATTTGACCGTAGCTTCGTGTCCAGTCACGACAATGGCGGAGTTTGAGTTGCTAGTGAACACCACACTACTGCTGGAAGCTTGTGAGGTGGTTGATCCTATAAAAGAATGTACTACACAAACATGCCAAAATCAGATTGCCAATGCCTCGCTGAAACTTGCTCAAGGAATTTCGAGGAGTGTTCCCCCACAGAAGACCGTGGATGAGTGTGAGTCTCTTGCGCTCTCATGGTTGGCCAGCAGGCTGACACCTGCGCAAGCCAACTCTGTCTTCCGAACTGTTATGAGTTGCAGTGTGAACAAAGGTATCTTCATCTAAAAGTCCCACGTGATGTTCGAGTCATTTTTTTGTTCAAGTAGTTTAGAGATATTGACTAACTTCAGTCTTTTATGGAAACCAAATTCTAGATTTTTCCAGTGTTAAGCTTTTTAGATCTACCTTTAATGTTTGTACTTCTCCATTTATGATGATCTCAGTCATGTTAATTTGAGAGTTAAGATACCGGTTGGTCTCAAATTGTAAATCTTGGGAGAGGTATCTGACCCAATTTTTCTTGTGTGACCAGTGTGCCCACTTGTATTCAGCGACACTTCTGACGTCGCAGGAAGCTGTCGTGGGTCAAATCCTTCCAACGTAACTTGTTGCAAGTCCTTGGATGATTATCTCCTTATCATGCAGAAGCAAATGCTCATCACGAATCAGCAGGCATATCGATGTGCTGCCAATCTTAGCCGCAGACTACTAAACGAAGGAGTGACAGCAGATATTTATTCATTGTGTGACATCGACCTCAGGGACTTCAGTCTTCAAGGTATGTCACTTTGGTATAAATCGTTATGAAATCATCACACAAAAACAGCTTGATCATGTCCTTTCAGCTTCCGTCCGACTCTTTTGATGAATATTTTCCCTTAGTCCATTTGAAGGAGCATGTGCAAGAAGGATCTTTGAGTACACCACTAATTTACTCGTTTTGTTTCCTACATGAACTATTCACTCAATCCGAGCAGCTCTGGGAACCGAAGGTATGTTGATGTTGCTTTCTGCTCACTTCATCACAATTTTTAGCTTCCTTTCTTATTAGCAGCAGTGCGTGCCATGAATATAGCAAAGTCTGCTACTGTGAGCAATTTTCCGTTTCATGCACAGCTGATTGCCTTAGTAACTTTTTATTGCCGCAGTAACTGTTTGTGCTGAACCACGTTATCATCTCCATAATGTGGTTTCAGTGGAAATGATTAATAAGTTTCTATCGAAACTATTTATAAAGCCTTTCATCAATCTATCAATTTTCTTATTTTAATTAACAGATAATTGTCATATTCATAATAGTTATTTTTAATTGAGTTAGAAATCATTTCGTCCTGTGTATAACTGTGTCCATCTCGTTCCACCTGTACAGGATGTTTACTACCTAGTCAGCCTACTGACGTGAATGCCACAGCGGGCATTACTTTCTATTGTGATCTGAATGATAATATAGCGGCACAATGGCCACGACCACCTCCCGCCAATGTGAGCAGTCCAGGTAAGTGGGAGCAAACCTCTACCATCCGGTCACTTTTCATCCTGTCACTCTTCGTAATGTTTCGCTTGAACTATTATTATCATCAATAGTCAAAGTATGAACCCAGCTTATTACAAAATGAGAAAACATTGTGAATAATGTTTTTTATAAAAGGAGAAAATATTATAGCTTCCCTTGAGTCTCTGCACCTCTTTTGTTTTAGGTAAGCAAAATTGGGCTTATGATAACCTAATTAATTATTTTTTTGGCTTCCCCATGAACGTCTGGAGGCGAAGATTTTTTCATCCTGGGTAATGTAAATGTTCCTTGTTGCTGTGCCTGCAGCTCCTTCAGTATTGCCACCTCCGGGAAGCTCCGCGTCAGATGTTGGTAAGTGCAGACTACCAGTTTTCGGACTTTCGAGTTTTGTTGTCTTAATTTTTTATTGCTGTCTTTTCTCGTACCGCTCTCTTATAGTCGATTTTGTACTGAGAGCTCGTCTGGGTCGGCTCGGACAGGCGCAAGGACGGTGACTTTTCTCTGCTCTTTGGCCCTTTCCCTGCTGGTGCACATCGTATGGTAGGCCTCAAGTTTAGAGACATTCTGTCGAGGAAGAAAGAGGGATTAGAAGCTGATGGTTGCGAAGGTAGCTGAGGAAGGCCCGAGAGATCTCGTTTGGATGATGGGACCATCGGATTCTTGTCTATCGAATTTAGAATTCTTTTTGTAGGTATTTAACGGTGAGTTCGTTCATTATTATTTATTATCAAAGCTTGTCACAGGGGCTCTTAGCATGTCGAAGAAGTTGAAGATTCAATCCTGGAATTGGAAATCTAACCAAAATGCACTTCACTTCACTTCCACTCAATTTCGATCGCCGCTGTAATGAGCCCTATGACGTTGTCCCTTCATTCGACTGTTATTTGGAACGTGCTCCTCGGAGTTCCTTGAGAATATTTAAGATCCTCAATACATGCGTGACCAATCATCTCCGAAACACGACTTTAAACGTAAGGTCTGAAATCTGTGAGAGTTATGAAATCTGACATGCCAAATATGTTTCAATATGGAACTGTTGTTACGATGGTCACATTACAGTTTGGAGACCCAACATACTGACTGACTGTTAGCTACAGGACCATTGAAACTTACAGTTTTTCCATGTGGTTTCGTCTTCCAATGTCCGTGTACGCCTTTGTTTTATTACTTCTTACTTCATTTGCTTGTTCCGCGATGCGGAAATCCACCAATCGAAACACCGACACAAATGTCCAAGATCTGTAATTTTTCAGCAAAGCGCTTGGCTTCTGTGAAGGTTATGGGATTTATCGAAATCAACTTTTGCAGACAATCCAGGGGGAAGGATAGGCTGACACGAATGTGGTGGTTGTCTTGCGAAGCTTTGTTAGGAAAGTCTTCAAATTCCTTGGCTCCCTTTCATTCGTAATCTCTACCGTCTTAATGAAATTTCTGTGTACGTATCTGTAATCTGAATATAAGCTTGAAATTCCATGTATGAAACGGATTCCTTTTTTCCCGGTTAGGAAAGTTTTAATCGGCTTATTGTAGACTAATTTGATCAGACTATTGACGTGGGAAATTGCCTAACGTCGGTGGCAATGATACCAAGTATGTTTGATACCTAATATTTTAGGGGGTGAAATTTACAAATGGTGGAGACAGGATATAGCCTCGTCTGCCACATACTACAGAGCAACTTGGAAACTCAGGAGGCGGGCTAGCCGCGACATTTTGGGCAGAGGTCACCGAGTAACACAGGTTAGAAACAAAAAGCACTTCAGAAAGTGCTTTTGGTTGGTAGTTAAATTGAGTTGCTAGCACACGGTTCAAGCAATCTTCCAACACTGGAGAACCGATGCATCCAATCGTAACAAAGACTTGTTAGACTTGAGAAGTATACAATGTTAGTCACTTGCAGAGTTACGTCAATGTGTGGTATTAGTTTGACTTACTTGCATATACAATGTTTGATGTATATTCTCACCTTAATGTTCAATAAATGATACATGTATCTCATCATATTGAGGAAAAAGTGGGTTTGATCCAATCCCACTATGGTTTGAAATAGAATCACCTTAAGAAAACCTATCATAACCCTCTCCTTGATATAAGACTTCACTGTGAATGTGGTAAATTTTATGGTTACATAGAACTTGATTCTTAGATAGTGAAAATATTGTGATTGATTCATTTTAAAATTTCTAGATTTAGTGAAGATAAAAAGTACTCAGATATGATACATTTAGACACAATAATTAAGGGGACCACTAGTTATCACTCACATGGGGTTAATTAACCCTCACACTACTATACGTTCGGCATGCATGGTTTGACTCGGGTTATAGTATCCACGAAAAAAGAAATTTCACGAATGTACAATTTTTTTCCTAGCATTTTCTAGTTTCACAGGCCTAGGCCTTACGTTGTCATGCTCCAGGAAATGGGGTCGACTCTCTAGTTCATTAGAGCATCTCCGAAATGTGCCCAGCTTGAGACTTGAACAATAGTTATACTCGAGTATAACCGAATCAACTTTATGAAACCAGCATCTTGGTAGATTGAACCAATAGTTCAATGAAAAGCAGCACGAAGTCAAAATTATCACCCGCAAGAAGTAAACTACATGGGGAAACTATTGTAATTCTAAAAGCTCGGATGGCAGAATTCCCTGGTTTGAATGCTGTAGAGTGAACAATTAGCTATTAAGTGCTGCTACAATTTTAATCCGGCCATAAACATATGACCTTTGAAGGTAAGTCACTTACTTTAACTAATACAGCGGTGGAATCAACCAACAGTTCTTTTTATCACCGCAGTGATCGTATAACCCTAGTGAACCAATGAATGACATTCTTATAGTAGGGTGAGGGCTAATTAGCACCAGATGAGGGTAACTAGCCGCCCCCTAATTAAACTATATATTAACTATATAATCATACAATCTATAGTTACTTTCATAAGAAATAAATACATTAAGTAGAGACAACTTTCATTTTATAAATTTCCATCTAAGATCACAAATAATGCTATTAACGTTGTCAAATACATAGTTATCACTTAATTTGAATTAAATTGGAGTTTTTGAAGGTTGTGTTTCTAAAGTGTTGTTTCCAAGAATAAAATTATGGCAAAAATTTTTTAATGCATGAACCTAAATTTTTTGAAAGATAAAATGAAGACAAAAAATAATAATCTATTATAACTCTAGTTTCAAAATGTTGTTGTGAATCTTTTGAGAGTAGAAAAAACTTCATTGTGTTTCAGTTTAATCAACGAATAAAGATTAGAATATAATGATGTTTAGTATGACAACAATTCATACTTTGATATGGTAAATTTGTGCAAAAAATAATTTGTAAAATATCTATAAAAATTGATATTCAACAAAGCTATTATATCTACATCTCAATAATTGCATGAGCAAAACTACTAAGGTTTTGATTTTCTACACAAGAAAACGTAAATGCTTCATCAAAATGGACACTTATATTCATAAATGCAAATACATACATTATAATATGAATATTTGAAAATGGATCATTGATAGTTTTTTCATGAATATGTTAAAGAATCAATCAAAATCTCTACTGAATTCATTGATTAATCTTGAAAAACCAATTTGCATGATATGATGCATACAAATTTTAGAAAATTTCTAAAAGTCATCATCCTTAACTTTTTCCAAGCTTAATTCCATATTGATGAAATATGAAACAGAGATTGTCAAACATCTTCTGAAATAGATAGCAAACCAACAAATAAATCATCAAAATTATATGCTAGAAATTAGATGTAATTTTATATACTAACCTACAATTATACCACGAGCTCCCGTAGTTAACTCGTGTTGTTGATGTCTATCAATAAAGTTCTCATGCATACAAAGAATATGGAACGACAGTTTAGACTTGGGTTCGATAAACAAATCCAATTAAAAATTTACAAGAAGAAATGAGATGATAACTGTCATGTACGATATTCCTTTTGGGCACTGCGGTTTCTAAACGTTTGCTGCTTGTGTATATGTGAACTTCTTCCGGAAAGAAAAAACAACACAACAAATAAAGAAGAGAGAAATAAGTTCTGTGGGGAGGGGAACTAACTTCAGGAATAGACAAGTTCAGAACGAGGAAAGCGCGAGGGCGGAGCTTGTGGGCAGCACGGGTACCAACCTCTGTACCCGCCGGTGCTCTGCACGAATGTACGTGTGAGCAGTCTGGGATTCCACACAGAACCAAGCTTCGATCGATCGATTGACATTTCCGAAGGTGAGTTCGGATCCATCTGCGCCCCATCTGTGAAGGGTCAGTCTCGTGGCAAGGCCTTCGCTGAACATGAAATTTGACTGTCATAGGGTTTGGTTCAGTCGTTGATGGAAGGGTTCTAACAGTTGACATGAAGAGCATGTGATTAAAAATCGAGGGATTCCGATTCTTTGAATTTGAGTATGGAATCTTCCCTTTCGAATCAGGGGATTAGGGTTTATGATAATTCTGGATTGCACTCTGGCTTTCATCGTCTCGCTCTCGGGGAAGAATGAATCCAAGAAGATTTTGTTAACTGTCGATAATGAATCTGGAGATCGCTGGGCCTATAGAGTAATTTTGAGTACCGGTGAGCTACGGACTTTGTCGTTGCACATTCTTTGAGCGTGGCGGTCGTCGAAATTGACGTTAGCTACGTGAGAAATTTGAGAGTCAGCTCTTCTAACTTTCGGCCAACCAAATGTGCAGAATGTGCAGCTGAATCATGTGCGAGAAGGATTTAAATTTCGGTTGATCCTGCGATTGTGAGAAGTGATTCGAGATACTTTTTCTCCCGTTTTGTAGGAGAGATGCAGAGAGCATTTTCTGCCCTTGTGGGTCGGTCATCCCGCAGGCTGTCCACGCAGATTTTAGGTGTAGCCAGTTCACCCGGCAGCTGTGCTCCATCTAGCAGGAGTGATCCATCGTCTTCGTCTTTCGTCTGGCGATCTGCAAGACAATTTTGTGCTAGCGATGGATCCCAAGCTAGCCCTCCCTCAGGTACATGCTTATTACCTGACTGCGTAAGTTTTTCCTTTGTGGTCCGGAGTGAAAATCTTCGTCATTTTTCTCTAATCATTAAATTTTCATCCTCAGTATCTTCTTTTCTCTCCCTTGTTCTGAGCATTTTTATTCTTCTTCCAGCTGAAGGAGACAAAGCGGCGGCAGAAAAACCAGTGAAAAGGAAGAAGCTCAGTAAGAAGGAGCGCTTTGGTAAATACGATCAGGAGTTCGAAGATGAGATGGCACAGGTTCCAATTGATGAGAGCGTAGAACATCTATACGATACACGACCAATCGTCGAGAAATGGATGGGTCATCCAACTTTCTATGATATGATTTCAGGTCTGTACAAGTTCCGTCGCCTCGTTTGGTTCCAACATGCAGTGTTGGTTCCATCCTCCATGTAGTTGCCTGTCATCAGGAAAACCTTTATAATGCAGTTTGTCCAGGACCAGGTCCGAATTGGGAGAAACAAAATATTAATCTTCTTACCGGTCAGGATCCTATGAATTTTGTTAGATACCTCCTCAATCATGAAAGGCCGATGGTATATTTTGCTGTCTTTACTAACCTGTCAACTGTAGAGGACGAAGTTATGGAAGCTAAAGCTGAGTTCCATTTTTCGAACATAATATTTCATCTTTCGTATCACTACAAATTTATTAATTAGATTTAGTGGTCATCCCCATCCATATCATTATTACAGCGGCATCATTTATCATTCATCAGTGATGTACTTAAATTAATAAAATTATAAAGGAAACCAACAAGCTTTGGTTAATATAAAAATATTGATCTCTTGTTTCTAGTACGATTAACTAATGATGCTGGACATTAGGTCCATATACAAACCTTCTATGAGTAACTTATCAGATGCGCTCTTGTTGGTCGTGGCGTACTCATCACAAAGTGTCTTGGATCTTTCAGAGGACGCCTATCCGAAGGGAGAAGCACCCAAGGGCGAACCCCCTGGAGAAGGGCCAATTTTGAGGTGGGAAACTCGAGTAGTTTTGAGTCCTGGAGGTGAAGCCTTTCATCCAGCAAATCGAAAGGTCAAAGTTTCGGTGTACGTGAAGGAGCTGGAGCTTACTCCGATACAAAAGGAGAGGCTGCTAGCCATGGTTGGGAAACGTTACAATCCTAACAAGGATGAACTTACCATAGTCAGTGAAAGGTACGTCCCAATTCTGGCTCTTTGAAGTTGTTGAGTATTTTACTCACAGTCAAATATAGGTTGATAGTATTTAGAGGATTCTGCTTTGCAGGACACCTCTTATAAATTTCTCGTTCTCTAAATAAATTCAACATCTTTTAGTCGTAGATCGGTTGCTCCGAAGAGAACATGTTTCTCCTGAAATTAAAGTTGGGTCTACATACAGCTTGCAGCAAGTGAACGATGTCAATTGTGGATTGTCTTGATCCGACAGTGTTGTTTGTAGGGCTAACTTCAAGCATGCAGTGCAGCCATCGAGGGATGTTGTATCCTGTCATAGAAAGGGAACGGTGCATTCGTAGAATCATCAGACTTCTTGACTTTCAAATTGTTAACCGTGCAGATTTGAGGCTCGCGAAGAAAACCGGAAGGATGTCATGAGAATATTATTGGATTTGATCGAAGAGTGCAAGAAATCAGATGAGGTGGTGGAAGGGGCGCAGCAAATATAGAAAGGCAATAATAGTTGTTCTTCATGTTAAGCTGCGCTTTAAGCTGTGGCTCTCAGTTTTGACCAGGAGGTTTTTTCTCTTTCAATCCTCCCAAATTCATCTATTAAAGATTTGGTTCTCGTTTGGTCTAGTCATATAACTTCGTGATGGATATCAATTTGCTCAGTTCACACAGAGTTACAGCTTTTCAGAAAGTTCAGATGTTCCTCATTTGGTTCACCAGACCAATGGTTTTTGCATTTTCCAAATCCTCTGATACTATCTGGGAGACGGTGACATGTAAAGCGGGAACCGTGATTATTCAATTTATTTTGTATCAAGGTTTTGATGGAGCACTTGAAACATGGGTACACTATGTGTTACTGTTTCATGTACGCACGAAGAGAAGAGTACTCTCCAAACAAGTGTATTTGCAGCTCTGACCGTTAACTTGACGCCAAGTCTCACTGGCTACCAGCATGATCATCGCACTGAGCATTTGGACTTTGGACCTACGTATCTAAACTGTAGTGAGCATCCAGCTTACATTTCTTCACAGGACTATCATCACCCTCGTTAATTCGGGTTTGTTCAATGCGGCAGAACCAGGAATGCTGAAAGCGTATCTGCTTTTAGCATGGCCATGGTTATCCTACTATGTTAAGGTTGAAGATTGTATGATTCGACGACGTTGATCAAGAGTATTCACAATCGCAGTTCACATCATAGTTCTGGGACGGCTTACACATCACAAGAGAGGATAGGGTTGTGCATCATAAACATGGAGAAAGATATTGTCATTGTGAACCATGCAAAATTGGCACTGTTGCTCTACGAAATTGTCCCTAATAAGAACTCCGATTTAAGTCAAAATTACAAAACCATTCATTCAACAAATTTTACAATAAGCACTTCAAATATACAAATCTTTCAAGCAACAAATGTAGATCAACAAATAAAGTCCATTATTATCGGATTCATCATTGTAAGGTCCAATCTCATTAGTCTTATTTCAGTACGAAGATGACGTGAAGTGTAGACTACGGACTCTCCGCTGTACAGCCGTGGCAGACGTCAGACTCTGGTGCATGTAATTGGTAGTGGGATGCAAGTTACTTATCGTTGCACCGCAGTATTGAATCTGTAGCTCTCTCGGTATTCTGGTAATGGGTTTTAGTCAATGCGTAGGGAAACGTCTTGCATATTTTTCCCGACCAACAACGATGAGCGTTGCAGTAAAAATGTGCGATTCTTGTTTAGTGAAAATAATACTGTGGTTGGCGAAATTGATCGAACTATCGTCTGCTGGCACAAACAATGTACATATTATTGTAGTAAGCGTAAGGGATATCTTTCAAGTTTTGTCTGATCTCAAAAGCCACTGTTCCTCATGTGTTGATTATACATTCTACTGTAGGAAGCTTAAAGGATATATCTCAAGCTGTGTCTGATCTCAAATGTGACTGTCCATGTGTTGATGGTTCTAAAATCGTCAAGCCTAATTTCTTTTAAGAATTCCAAATCAATTACAGGTCGACTCCAGAATCAAGAATTAGAGAAGCCCATCATTATTGAGGTTTTCATTTGATGCCCATACATCCGTCTTCTTTCCTTGTCCTCTTACACGGTGATTCCATTGCAATGTGCCCTGTTCGTGAACTGGTAACCGCTGCCCTGTTCGTGAACTGGTAACCGCAACCTCAACATTGCCACTAAGCTCCAAATTCTCACAAAGATCTAAGTTTTCACACTAAAACGTGACCATGTGGAAGATCGAGCCAAGCATACGTGTGTTCTTGGTGTCTAAGAAAACTGAAATTCAAGCTAAGTTCAGGTCAAAGTCAGTGTGATAAACTGCATATTACGAATCGTGCTCATGACACAACAATCTATCCAAAATTCATGTAATAGAAACCAATCTATGTCGTCTTCAAACACGCAGTTCAGTAAGACGAATCGCCGCAAATGGTAGTGAGTCAAGAATCATATATATAAGATTAGATTCCAGTGAGGAAATGGTGGTTTCTTCTCCTTTCAAAACTGTCTCTTACTCATTGTATTACGACTGCGCACAAATACTACATTCAAAGGTGTGCAACTCGACTCTAACGTCGATTTACATCATCTCAATACCGGAACCCAGCAGAACAGGTAAAACACGTGAACGAGAAACAAATAATTGAGAATCGAGACGTTTCGAGGGGCAGCCAGCGATAATGAACCTCACAGGACGTACAAAAGCGAACTAGTATATTCATGCGGAGCGAAATTTATTCCAATTCCGGGCAAACAAGAGAGGAGGGGCTGCAAGCTCCTTACAAAGTTTCGTGGTGCAAGTACTCCAGCCGAGAGCTGACCAGAGAGCGCTAGCGACGGCTGAAGAGAGAATTTGGGATTTTCGAATTCGCACTGTACATTCCCTCAGTAAAAACATCGAACGACAACACAAGGAAAAACTCGAGCTAAGTTCTACGATCCTCTCCAGAAGCAGCAGAGAGCACTGAAGCATCTATACAAGGGTCTGCGATGGCGCACCATCTCTGGCGAGGCAAGGTCAGGACGGACATACTTACTTACACTAATTCCCTAGGCCACGCTCTGTACCAACCGGTCCAGGCGGATGTCAAACCCGAGAGCCCGAGAGTGACGGCGTGGGTGACGAAGGGATTGGGGCTCAGCTCGACCATGTCGATGATGAAGTCGGACGCGAACGACGAGATGGCACAGATTCTCATGACCCGGCGGAACCGGATGCCGGAGATGGCGGCCCGCTTCTGCGCGATGTGCTTGGCCGCGGTTTCCTTATCGAGCTGGCTGCCGCTGAGGAGCGCATCGATCTCCTTCAGATGTTGCTTCTCGGCCTTCCTCTCTCTCGTCAGCATCGTCAGCTCCTGCACCGTGAAGCAGATATAACTCACGGCCTCCCCGAACGCCGAGATGTAGCAGAAGCGGTCGGCCAGCTTGCTGTCGAGGAAATTGATGCGCGACATCCACGTCAGATGGTCGAAGAAGAAGTAGACGAACTCGCCGCTGTTGCCAACCACGGCCAGCGCCTGCCACTTCCAGTTCTCGAACTGCGTGGTGCGGATGGCGTTGAACCCGGTGAGGAATCGCCCCGTCCGGAAGCACTTGCGGCTCAGCCCGCACGACACCTCCCAGTTCTTGGCCCGCTGAGCCAGCTCCGGGCTGCCCGTGCTCAGCAGGTACCAGTGCGCCATCTTCGACGTGTACTGGAACGTCTTGACCAGCTTGTCGATCCCATCCCGCTTGGCCAGAAACACCACCAGCCGGTCCAATGAGTCATTCTTGCGGGCCATTCTTGCGAGCGTTTCCTAGCGCGCTGGCTGCACGTTGCGATTCGAATTCCGATTCCGTACGAGACGTTGGAGCGTGGTGCGCGTACCGCCTTCCGCACCGCTCCGTACCACGATCCGATTGTCGAGGAGCTTGCGAGAGGGCGAGAGAATGACAAGTCTGCGAAGGGAGCAGCGAGAGGGAGAGAAGGAGCTCCTACGAGCAGCAGCAGGAGGCTTCTGTTCCAGTTGCAGGAGGCGAGGAGGGATGAGGCCAATTTGTACGCTCTGATCGTCCGCCGCAATTCAGGAGCATCGGCCGAATTTAGCGAGGGCAGATCTGCAGGGTAGAATATAGAAAGAAAGGAGGTACCACAGATAACAGAGCAAGTACGAGGCTCTGGATTCGGTTGCCGACAAGAGGCTGCGGGGGGCAAAATCTCGGCGCTCTGCCAATTGAGAAGGCCTTCCTGTTTTTTGGGACGCAACGACTCCAACAAACTGGTCTAGAGGATAAGTTCTGCTGCAAATGCAATACCTGCTTCGGCTTCAGTCGAGCGCGATTCCGCAATTTGGCATTCACTTCTTTTTTCGGCCGTCCCGGACCATGTCTCCCATCTCTTTCTCTCTTTTTCTCTTGCTGCGCGAACCACTCCTTGCCTTGTTGCCACGGTGGGCTCTTCCGCAGATTCTCCGACGCCACTGCTTCCTTTCTTCCTCCCTTCCTTCCGACCAATTATATCACCCTGTCAAACTACCATAGCCCTGACGAGATTTCTGCGACATGAATGTCTTCTGCGACGGGAATCCAGCGTTGGTTCCACATGCCCCTCTCTCAAATCCGAACTTGGAATCCGCGCGAACCCCGACGGATGAAATGTCATAGTGCTGAGGAGAGGAAGGAGGAAAGGACGGGCGTCTTGGTAAGGTGCCGAGTGCACGGTCCGGGGCACGGAGTTCTGGGGAGCATTCCGAGCGACATGGTTCATCGACGAACTTTGAAGATGTGACAAATCAGCCCAGGAGCTCGGTGCCACACGCTCCATCCATGCTCTGAGACCCACTAGCGTCCTGGTGAGTCGTGCCCCTGAGAGCAGAGCTGAGCTGGGGGGCCGAAGTGCACTCCGTCACTCAATTCCTTTATCTGGAACCGTGAAGAGCCATTCGTTGCCCACTGCTATCCGTCTGCAGCTAATGCGCGCGTGCATGAATCTTTGCACTTGTTCACGCATGCCCTCACTCGCTCCGCGGTATATTCATGTGACGAGTGTACGGATTCCGTCATCTCCAATTCTAGAGGTTGACGTTCCTTGGAGCCTCCCCAGATCCACTTCCTTCCGCCGGTAAACCTTCCAGGACGTGATCTAGTAGCCATCTTTCTCCCTCTGGCTGCTTTTGCACTTCAGCTCCAAGTTGCATGGATGGGCGTTGAAACGACGTCAGACACTGTATTAACAAGCCTGCTCCTCAAGCTTTTCCTCTACTCTTGTCCATGAGTCTCCAGAATAATCTGACAAATTCCAAATATATTCATGTTCCAGAGCGATTAAGGGGATTCGCTGCCGAGGATGTGGCTTCAGGAGCAACTGGGTCGAAGATTTTGGACAAATTCCATCTCAATTCATATTGTAAGTATATAATGGAGGCTATCTGTGAAAATATACACCAGAACGTACTGATCTAGTATAAATCTGTTATATGGCTTTATTCATATGTTGAACAAATATTTGTGTACTATTTAGAAAGAGTGGAGATATTATTTGAAAATTTGATCTCTAGAGAATTGGTCTGAAATTTCGTATCCGAATATTGGTTTTGTGTCTTTACATACAAAGAAGCAATAAATGCTAACGGTTGTAGATATACATATAGATATTATAAGTATGAATATTTTACACTCAAAATTTATTTTTTTAGTTATTTATTTTCTGCAGGTAAGAAACCCCAGTAAATACGTTTCCAGATTTATATTTCTATAAGTTTTTCATAATTTATATCAGATAGATCTATAAGAGACTACTGTGGTTTATTCATATTGGTCCCTTCGAACATTTATTAAGTAAGAGTAATCCAATTAAATGACAAGAAAGCCCAAAGAAAAACAAAAGCCATTGGGTTGATTTTTCTAAATAATTAGCTTTCATTTTTTCTGTATCAACATTTTGAATCGGAATTTTGTTTATAATTCACGTAGATTGCAGGAGTAGAAACCTTCATTAGAAATAAATAACTTCAATATACATCAATAATTATCTTTGAGACGTTGTGATTTTAAATGTGAACTAATGTTCACATTTAAGACTCAATTAATTATGCACACTTATTTTCTAATAAATTCAATACATTCAAACTTAACTCACTATACAGTTAAGACTTTTTTTTAACAGTACATGATATGTAATAAATCTAAATATGTTATTTGTGTTTTTTCAATCAATTTTTTCATATTCAATAACTATAATCGATAGCTAGAATTCATATGTTTTGAATGCTATAATAATTAAAATTTTAGAAAATAAAATTACATAAATTACCAATCGGTATTTTTGAAAATAATTTTCCGGTGCTAACATCTCTTTCTTTAACATACCAATAAAAAGTCTGGAAAAATGGTTGAGCGAAAATAATCAAGAAAAAAGTAGTTTATTGAAGAATCAGTGAAGATTTTAAGCTAAAAAAATTTTTAAATTAATTTGAAATTTTTATTTCTTTTAAAATAATGTTTTTAACTTTCAATCTTAAACCTTGTGATTTCTTTTATTATGCAATAAAAAAATCAAAATGTATAAAAAATATTGATATTATAGTTATTGAAATTTAAAACCTATTATTATCTGATTTGGAATTTGAACCATAATAATATAAATAAATTTTCCAATTCAAATAATATAAATTTTTTTATATTATATTTTTTTTTCCAAATTTTTTCAATTGAAGGGAAATTTTTTCAAAAAAAAGAAATTGGTGAAAAAATAAAAGTAAAATTTCATCAAAATAGAATATCTATTATAATAAACAACATTTCTCCATATTCATAATGATTATAAATTTTTTTTTCCAAAGTATTATCTTTTGTAAAATAATCTCATTGTCTTAAATATATCATAAGCAAACAATTATAACTTCTGGTTAGAATTAAAGTTAGATTAGTTAAACTCTAATACTAAAACCCCATAACACTTTATTATATAAAACAGTCAACAAAAACTTCTTTTTGGGTCTTAGAGGTGATTATGGAGAATATATATATATATATATATATATATATATATAATTAATTTCATTTGTTGCTTAGTTTTTCAGATTGAATAAGGTTGAATGTTACTAATAATAATATTGATTCAGATCATTATTCATATATCAAAAATCAAAATTGCAAATAATTTCAGTTATGTTATTTTGAATAGGGAATCAAAAATAATAGAGCAAGTAATAAGTTTGTTATCTTATTTACTTGTTGAGTTGAAGTTGCAAAATTTATCAACAAATCAAACGTAAAGCATTATACAAGAAAAATAAATTTCATTATCAATGATAGATTTTGAATAAGAATAAATTATTATAAAAGAATTTAAATATATTATTTCCAACAATATTTACTTTATTTTCTATCTTGTACATTTTGTGTATGAAGTGTATTTTTGTGAAGTTTGAAAATCTAGTTTGTGATGTTTTTCAACAATAAATATTTTATGAAATTAAGAAAAGAATATATTATCATGTGCATTGTATGATAAGTTTAGCATAGCATTATATAAATTATAAATTAAGGATTTTTGAAATATTTATATAAAGAAAAGTAAAGTCATTCAAGTTGTCTTGTCTTCAAAGTTCATTGTGAGGTGGCTATTTTTTAGATAGAAAAAATAGCAGTAGATTTTTTAGATTTTTAATTAGATTGTTGTTTTTCCACTATCCAGGACATTATAAGCGGCTGAAAGACACTAATAATGTGTCTTTCAGATGTTTTTAATAAGACACTAATAAGCCTATGCGTAAACTTTCATAAGTGGTCCAGGATTTTGGAGTTTATGTCCGAGCATGCATAGGTCTCCATTAAGAGAAGTAGAAAAATAATTTTGCACTAACAGTAATATCTGTGACCCTATGTATTTTTGGTGTGGTTGATTGTAAGGAAGGTGAAATTATATATTGCTATCACTTCATTGTCACTTATCTATTGGCATCAATAATTACTCAATTTAAAGATGTGTTAGTATTATTATGCATAGCTACCATGTTTAAGAACATCATCCTCGCATTGAAAGAAATATACTTTGAGAAATTTTGCCAAGAAGTTTACTTGTGGAGTGAAGTTGGATGCTTTGATTAGGACAGGCGGAATATTCGAATGAGCGAGGGATTTGACATCGGATAGCGAGGTGGAAGCGAAAGTTGTTATGCAGCTGTAGAGTTTTAGGCAATCTGAATGGTGTCCGATGCCGTAGAAGTTCAAGTACCTGTTGGAGGTACTGCATGCGAGCTTGACTCTTCACAGAAATAGGTATGTTAGGAACCTTCTAGATGCTTAAGACGGAGGGACACATGCTGTAAATGATTGTTTGACATCATCAAGTATCAAGCTACGGACTAAAGTGAAGACACAAGTTGCCACTGGCAAATGGACCTTGAATCTTGGAGAAATCAGGTAAATATTTTAGGTGAGATTTGATCGTTTGTCAATATTTTATTGGTGAAAATCCTCTTCGATCCTTGGAGAGGGGCCAGTGTCGCTTTTGCTTGAATAGGGATGCCTTGGCCTTACTGAGTACCTTGACCTTTTAGTATGCTACATAGATTAGTGTTTGAGAGTTCAGAGGGGAAGTGGCCAAAGGTTAAAGCCAAAACTAGTGAAGCATTGGTGTACTATGAGATTAAGAGAGATATTAAGAACTGTGCAGTCACAGCCAGAGTAGGATAGCTGATCAAAGACAACCCTCTTTACAGGAGACAATTGGAGGAAATGCTAGCAGGCAAGCGAATAAGAAAATTGCCAAAGGTGGGTACACTAGCAGATGTAAGAATGCTCTATGAAGATCATGTTCACATGAGATTGATCATCAGATCAGTGGCTAGGTTCTTTCTTACATTGTGGTGAATGGAGAATCTGGAGTGAACATGATGATTGAGGCTAGTGCCCATCAACTCGGTTTTACACAACTAGAGTCAAACGCTAGAACTATGAGGTTGGCCTATGAAGCTAGGGTGATGCAAGTAGGATCTTTGAGTACGGTTCCAACTCTTATATGTGACAAAATGTTTTTGCTGAATTACATGATCATATAACCAGATAGGCCATCCATCTATCAAGTGCAAATTTGTTGGACTTGGTTGTATGAAGCTAATGTAACTACTGATTGGGAGAAGAATGAGTTCAAATCCGTGAAGAAACCAATCACAGTGTCATGGGAATAGGTGGAGCAGGAAGTGGAGACAACTCAGATTTGTGAGGAGTATGATTCAAATTTATCAAACAAATGAGAGGTGGATGATGCATATACAATTGATTCAGGAGAGGTTTTACATAAAGATCATTCATGTGCAAACAACAACTTGCGATCATCTAAATTGTAATACCTTGCAGACTTGGAGTTGGGAAGATACAAGTATCAGATGTTAGTAAGTCTGATCTCAAGATGGCTCAAGAGATCCACAAAAAATCAGATGCAATCAACGAGGCAATTGATTTCAAAGGGAAAGTGGAGGCCAAGGAGTAAGTCCATGTTTATGGTGGTAAAAGGCTAGCATCTTTTTAGGAGAGCTTGATTCTTATTTGAAAAACAAGATGGATGTTATCAAATTGGATCAGTATAAGAAAATTTCAGTCAAGGAGGCCAAGGAGTTCAATATAGGATGTGCTTTAGAGACATCTGAAGAGAACTACATACATGAGTTGCTTTGGATATTTTTGTTTGGAATCATGGAGATGTCACTAGTGTGAATCTTGAGCTAGAAGAGCTTAGGATTGATTTAATGTTGGAAGCAAAGACAATCAGGCAAAGGCAGCACCGCATGAATCCTAAGTACTCCTTGATGATGAAGGAAGATATTGAACGTTTGTTAGACGCTGGTTACATATATCTAGTACTCAAAAGTGAGTGAGTGTCTCCTCTAGTGCTAATATCTAGGAAACCTAGTTTGGATGGAACACAAGAAATTTGAGATTGCCAAGATTTCATGAAGTTGAATGACGTCACTAGGAGAGATTATTATCTTATTTCATTTACTGATATGATTTTTGATTTAGTAGCAGATCA